AGTTCTTGATGACCAGGCAGCGAACAGGCGACCATTTGCCAAAATAGTCGGGTGTTCTTCTGCTGAATAGAGAGGAGAAGTAGGTCCCACTTCTCTTTTTCTTTAGCCCTCTTTTTCTTAACAATTAGTCCTTTATACTCCCGCTTCAGGCGGTAATAGTCCTCAGGTAGGCGTTTATCCCCTCGATTACGATAGAGCAGGTAAACCTGTCTGATCTTGTTCCTGAGCAGCACACATTCTTCATCGAACCAGGGATTGCTTCTTGGACCATATGGGCCACTTGGCCTACGATCAGCTCCTAGTTCCCTTTGAATACTGTTAATTAATGATTCGAAGGTCAAGATTGCCGCTGAGTCACTGCATGTTAAGGCCTGATTGTATAGGCTAAGACACTCCGGTGATGATAAAAGAGAGTGGAACTTTCTTTCAGTCTTGGGAGACCATTTGATCCTCCTTGCATAAGAGGTCACATAAGGATCCAGTATTTGGGGGCCCTTAGGCAGATGTATATTTGTAAAGAGCCCAATGATTGTGACCAGGGGGTAGTGGTCGCTCTCCGTGAGGCAGTCCACAAAAAAAACATGGACTGCCTGTCTTAGTGGCTGGGAAACCATCACAAAATCAATAACACTACTCCCCCGTGAAGAGCTAAAAGTAAATTCACCCGCTAGATCGCCTGGGGTACTCCCGTTAAGGATTGTCATATTGTGTTGGGATGCTAAGAGGGCTAATTGAACGCCGGCAAAATTTGTTAGCTCATCCTTAGAATGCCTGGCTGAGATCTGGTGTCCTATGGCCTGGCAGATTTCTTGGGAGTAGAGTGCCTCAATTGGTGGGGGAATTTGGCCTCCCAATCGGGCATTAAAGTCACCCCCTATAAAGATGTACGGCACTGGAAATTTAGTTTCTGTATGGGTAATATAGCTCTCCAGTTCGCCCCATTGAGCCTTAGTGTCGGCTTGCCTCACCGTCGGGGGAAGGTAAACGTTGAACACTAGCATTTTACTGTGTCCTCTCTTAATTAGGAGCGCCATAGCTAAGGACCCACTGGGGGGGAGCTCCACTGTCTCCACTTTCAGGGAGGTAGAGACCAAACAAGCTAAACCACCCTTAGGTCTTCCCGACTTGAATTGTTTGGTAGCAGCCAAAGAAATGGCCGTAAACCCTGTAAGGGATATCTTATCGCATGCCCAGGTCTCCTGAAGCAGGACCACATCAAATGACTGAATATAGTTAATAAAATCGGTGGTGCCGCACCTTCTCCCCCAACCTGCTATATTCCATGAAAGGCATCTAAGTGTGCAAGGGGGGGATGCCGGGTTTGCTAGTCATTCTGTATAATTAATTTTTTCCAGAGAGCCCTTCAAATCCGAAAAAATACAGCCGTTATTCGATGGAAGTGTCACCCTTTTGGGAGATAAAGGCAAAGAAAAGTGGAAGGGAGGCGAGCCTTGTTCATGAGGCTGTAGGGCTCTACACGCAGTCCAGTTTATGCTTCTATCATTCATTGGTTGCTTACCTGGCAAGCATTCGGTGACATCAACAGACGGGGTTTGGAGTAGCCCTGGATCTTCAAGTTTACAAGTTGGACATTCTGGAGGGAGGGCCGAGGGAACTGCCTCTGATAAATTGATGTGGACTCCCTGGGGTCCAGGGGGATCCTTATCAGGTAGTGAAAGACTCCAGAGCTTGGATTTAACTGCAGACAGGCGCTTTATAATTTGGGCCCTTTCTGGTTGTGGAAGTGCGCGAAAGGAGTCGAAAAGCTGTATCTCCTCCAGATTCCAAAAATTGTCTTGAGATGGAATGGTTTCATAGATGGGTGGAATTCCAGAGGCACTAGCCTGAGGCTTATTCACTAAGGAACTTTGGAGGCCCTGGGCTGGTGTCGCTTCCTTTGGGGCCATTTCTTCCCAGCTGATCAGATCGTGACAAACTTCCTGATGAGATGGGCCTCGCTGAGGGGAGAAGATTTGACCAGCTGTAGGAGGAACAGACAAGGTACCATCTGAGAAGATGCCATCGGGAAGTATTGCAGGAATGGATCTGTGTTTGATAAATGGTCTAGTATTAGGGATGGCATTCAAAATTGGCACATTAGTATGTGCTGCTAAGGGTCTTTTTGGGGCTGTAAGTCTCCTGCTGGTCACAGATTGTCGGATTCTTAAGAGTGGCTTAATCGATATATCTTTGAAGACTCTGCTTGGCATGATGCCGAAAGATCTTAGCAGAGAACTTCTCCTGAAGAATAATTTCGGGGTGCTGGGGTTATCAAAATTAAGTAACACTCTGGAGCAGTATGCAGGGGAGGGTAAAAGTTCAATCTTCTTCAGATCATCAGCAGTCAACCCCAGTAGCTGTAGTATATGACCCCTTGCCAGCTGAATTGAGCCCCAGTAAGGCAAATTGCCGTTAATGGGATTAATATTAAGGGCCACCTGTCTTGGCTGTAAAACCAGGTGGCTTCTTGCACCCGGAGGTGTAGAGTTCAACCCACTGGCAGAGCCACCCCAACCGGTACTTTTGCTGGGGCCCGACAGGGAGGGCCCTGTCACTGAACCAGGCTGCCGAGCAGTCCGTCCAGGGCAGCCGGCGGTAATCGAGGAAACTAGACAATCTAAAGTACTTATTATTTTATCAAGCTGTGACTGTATACTCGCAGTTGTTTCTGCAACTAGAAAACATTGCTGGGCCAAGAGTTCTATAAGAGTAGGTTCATTTGAAGGTTGAGTGGGGGCCATAGTTTTTGAAGAGCCTTTGTTCTCAACTCGGGGGACGACATCCTCGACCAACGGAAGATCACGACGACCAGCAGCAGTCAGATGAAAGGGAGCTAGAGTTTCCAGGCAGGGAGGTCGAATTAAAGCAAAGTCCTCAATCTTAGATTGCTTCAAAGAAGGTTGGGGAGCCAAGTCAGTAAGGGATCTGGTCCTTTTCCTTGACTTCATTATATAATATGGTGAAAAATCTAGTTTCTGGGACGAGTCCAGGTCCAGAGGCAGAGGGATCAAGAGGAAACAAGCCCTGATGCAAATAACAACAAAACTCCTCACGAGTAAGGCAAGGATCCTACCCTCCCAGCAGAGCAAGGAGCAGGGAGTAGATAAAAATAATAAGATAAATGCAGTAACAAAATGATAGTTAAAAATAATTGTCAGATAGAAGAAGAAGTCAGATCAAAGCTTGGCAGTACTCGGCTTCCAAGCTAAAGCAATAAATCGTAGATAGCAGCAACAAAAGCGGCAGCAAAAACACTCCCAAAACTGAGGCCAGCTCAGGTAGTTAAAAGTTGTTAAAAATACAGCTACTATAGCCGGGGTATAGCTAAAGGTAAATTGAGAAATATAAAAATATAAATATAGAAATATTTAAAATTTAAAAATTAAAAATTTAAAAATTAAAACAGAAACCTTAAAACAGTTAGAAGATAAAATAAGTCAGTTTAAGCTTGGATAGGAGCCGTTGTAGTTGCCTGCAGCTCTGCCGAGCCACTCCTATTGTCTTTAGTAAAATAAAACATCCTGTATATGTAATTATATTAGTACTGTGAGCACTGTGTGAAAAATGTTAACCCAGTCATTACACTGTCCACAAAAAATGTAAAAAATTGGTTGTTGAAAGGTGATCACATGACCTCGGGCCATGCAACTGTCATAAATACTTGCCAATTGTAAAGGGCCCAAATGTTAATCACATGACTATGGGGATCATATTAAATGGTTGTAAATGTAAAACTGGTCATAGCTCACTTTTTTTACTGCCATTTTAACTTCAAATGGTCACTAAATGAATGGTTGTTAAATCAAGGACTATCTATATATGTTCCTTTAGTGTACTGACAACATTCAAGACATGTTACTGGTTCTTTGTAATGTTTTTAATCTGTTTGGAAAGTTAAAGGATTATTGTGAGATGCTGTTTAGCATATTGCCCGGGTCTGTATAATGCTGCGTAATGCTGTAATATTTTTTTTTGCCCTAACACAACCATTTTTTCTTTATTTTATTTTATTATATTTCTATACCGCCCTTCTCCTGCGGGACTCAGGGCAGTGTACAGCCAGAATAAAACATAGCATATAAAATTTAAAAACATTTAAAAAAACAATTAAATAATTTTGGCCCGAATTTAAAACAACCCAATTAAAACCGAATTCGATTAAAAAACTGAGAGGATGGGATCAAGCCAGCCCAGCTAGATGGAACAAGTGTGTCTTCAGGGCCCGACGAAAAGTCCAGAGGTCTGATATCGTGCGTATCTCAGGGGGCAGGTCATTCCAGAGTGCAGGTGCTGCCACAGAGAAGGCTCTCCCCCTGGGGGTCGCCACCCGGCACTGCCTGGCCGACGGCACCCTGAGGAAGCCCTCTCTGTGCGAGCAAACCGGTCAGTGGGAGGCTATTGGCGGCAGAAGGCAGTCTCGCAAATACCCCGGACCTAAGCCATGGAGCGCTTTAAAGGTGGTCACCAACACCTTGAAGCGCACCGGAAGACCACAGGAAGCCAGTGCAGCTCGCGCAGGAGAGGTGTTATATGTGAGCGCCCCGTCGCTCCCATAATCCCCCGTGCGGCCGCATTCTGGACCAACTGCAGCCTCCCAAGGGGAGCCCCATGTAGAGAGCATTGCAGTAGTAGTAGTTAAATAAACCACAATTTATTGTTTAATGCAATTACAAATCTAGCCATTTGTAACTTGTATAAAAATATTGATAAAACATAACCTGGGTCAGCAAATGCAGGAACCCAGTCATTTTTATATTATTGGCATACAAAATCCATAGTGGAAGCATGTAGGGGTCTGGTTTAACTTATTATACTAAACCATAGTGTAATTTGCTTGATTTTGATTTGGTACAATGTGTAAATATGTGGGGCGCCTTATAGGACTGGTAGTGAATGCAGCTCATGTGTGAAGGGATACTTGTTACCATTACACAATTAGCAGTACCAGTTTCCTTACTTCTCAGTTTCTTTCAAAGTGTCTTTTCTGCAGGATAGTGGTGGTTTTCAGATGGTATCTCTGGTGGAGTTCTCCAAGGTGACAGAGGAGGGAGTACATTTCTGTTCTCCTTATGATGGCAAGCAGATCCTGCTAACACCAGAAAAATCCATTGAAATACAGAATGCTCTTGGTAACTATTCTGTTTTGTATAATAATATGACTGGCTAATCTAATGCTTTCTTTTGTTTTATAATGGTACTGATAGTTCCCTACGTCCATGATTGCCCATCATGTCAGAAATACCATTTTAGGAATTTATATAAAAAAAAAGAACTGCAGAAAATAGTTCAATAGCTCATAAACACTCTACTTGACTCTATTTGCATACTTAGTCCCCATTTCTTATTTTCCTGTTAGTGAATGATTTACCCACTGTGCTCCTTTTTGATGAGATACAATCTGGTTACCCATGCGCTGCTAGCCTCCCAATTAGATTGCTGCAATGGATCTGTGTGGGAATAAAGTTCTTGAAAGAAGTAGTGAAATTATAATGATTTGAAAATGTTCTGTCTGGAATGTCCTATTGGGAGCTCAGAGCACCTGCTTTTAGCTAAGCTGTTTGCCTTCTAGACCCTATCATTCAGGTATTTTATTTGTTACCTATCAATTCCTTCAAGTGGCTCAAGCCCCTCCTGCTTGAGGACACTGCTTCCCCCATATAGTATTCCTGAAAGCTACATTTTGCACAGAAGAGCCTTCTCATTGTTCTGTTATAGAGAGAGGCACATTCAGAATCAGCTAGGGCTGAGGGCCAACACACTGGAATTTTCTCATTTACTCTATACCAGAGGTCAGCAACCTGCGGCTCCGGAGCCACATGCAGCTCTTTGGGCCCTCTGTTGTGGCTCCCTGTCGGGTGATCCCACCACTAACTGGCCCCACCCCTTGCCCTCCCCTCCCAGTCACTCCTCGCCTGGCCTGAAAAGGTAAGGGTGATGGCAGGGGATGGAGAAGCGGCCAGGGCAGAGACAGAGAGATGCAGAGAGAGAGAGACATAGAGAGATACAGAGAGAGAGGGAATGGGGGGAGGGAGGGGAGAGAGATATATGTCAAAAGGGTTTTGTGGTTTCTGGTGTTTTTTAACAACTGGTTCTCTGCCCTAATGACCAGCTGGGTAAGCGTGGCTGGGGGGGGGGGTTATGTGACTGGTGGAAGTGAGTGACATCGAGTTGGCCACGAACACCCAGGTTTTGTGGCTCCCAGTGTTTTCTTTTTTGTGGGAAATGGGTCCAAATGGCTCTTTGAGTGCTTAAGGTTGCAGACCCCTGCTCTATTGTGTTTTATTTGTTATAAATAAATAGCAGTCAGTTTGCTAGATTTTTGTTATCATATATTGATACAGAGAATTTAAAATAACAGCAAGTTTTTACTGATTATAAAGTATATCTATTCGCTATTTCTCTCTCTCTCTCTCTCTGTCAGATCCCTAAAAGTGATACTGTCAGCCTCCACCTTTACTGCTTTGGCTGCCATAGTAACGGGAGTGGGGAGAGCTAGGTAGCATGGGGGGGAAGTGTGCTGGAGGAATCTGGAGAAATCGAAAGCGATAGTTAAGCCACCGGACTGTATCTTTGAAGCTGCTGTCGGGTCAACGGTCATGGCATTCCTGATTGATGACGCTGCCAGACGTGTGCTTCCACTTGACCCCTGGGAGACCTTTGGATTGGATGATTTACGGTGGACAGCGGGAGGGGATGCTTTCTATATGCAATTTTCGCGCTTATTGCCTTAGATTCTGCTCTACTTTGGTTGCGTTCACTTCATTTTCTAGTAAAAGTACCTTTCTCTATAAACAATGGAGTTTGAGTCATTCTTTTCTGGACTTTGAAGGAAGCACACCTGACATTAAGCAGAATCTAATCTCCAGCCATCCCAGATAAACACCGAGGGGGCTGAACCCAAAATATGTCTGATCAAGAGAGTGAAGGAGATCAGATGGGAACTTCTGGCTCTACTATAACTGCACTTCAAGCAGAGAAGGAAGCTGCGGAATGGATGGAAAAAATTTAGCTGAGAGAGGAGCCAGAGGAAGCTAGATGGTCAAGGGGAGTAGGAAGGTTGCCGGACCTGGGGAGGACCCCCCAAGGAGTAACCAGCTCCAGACCCCGTAAGGGAGAGGCAGTGTGGCTGCAAGAGCAAAAGGAGAGCCTCATGATTGCTCAAGCGATGCAACTCCTCCGCGATGCCGAGGAAAGCCAGAAAAAACGTGAGTCTTATATATTCCCTGTGGGGAAGGGAGGAGACTACCCCAGACTGGATCCAGAAGAGACAGCCTGTGGGGGAGAGGAAGAGGAAGCTGGGGAAGAAACATCTCAGGCTTCTGGAGCTCAAGCGAGGGATGCAGCAGCCCAGGGACCCCCAACCTTGCAGGCCCCACCCTGCAGGTGCAAAAAGCCAAAAATTCCCCCCCTAACTGGAAAATATGATGGGAATCCGAAGACCTTGGGGCTTTTCTTGACCCAAGTGTGGAACCACATGCAGGACTGGGGGGAGGATTACTTATCAGATGCGGCACGAGTGAGATGCGTCACAAATGTCTTAGAGGGAGTAGCAGCTGAATGGATGGTGGTTCTCCACAATAATAATTCCCCCTTGCTGAGGAATTACAACCTGTTCATGAGGGCTCTTAGGAGGCTGTTTGAAGACCACCTAGCTGAGCGGAAAGCGAGACTCAGAATGAAGAGTATCCAGCAGGGCCGGAGATCGGTGGCAGACTACACCCAAGAATTTCGCGAACTGGCACCCTACATGACAGAGTGGTCAGAAGCAGCCCTACTGGAGAGTTTTAAGGATGGACTGAATGAAGACATATACAAAGACTGTAGAGCACGGGGGGCCGAGGGGGCCGTGCAGGGGACCCGTCATCCCCCTTCTACCGCAAAGGAGCACAAAGGTGGGCGCGGGGAGAGCAGAATTCAAACCAAAATCGAAGCCCTTCACATTCTTCAAATGTGGAAAGGAAGGCCATCGGGCCGCCAAATGTTTCTCCAAGCCAGTGCCAAAATCTACTGGCTCGGGACCAAAGAAGGCTGACAAAGCACCCGCAAAAGCTCGCGAAACCGCCCTGAAAGGAGAAGTCGTTGAGTTCGCTCCCCGAAACCAGGGTGAGTTGGGAACTCCGACCACCGCGGACGACAGCGGGACGGACTCCAACTCTGATGATCTGGTGAGTCACACTGAGGGCCCCATGCTCATCCCCATAGAAATAAGGGTGCCGTCCACAGGGGCACATGCGCAGATGTTAGCCCTATTAGACTCTGGGTGCACCAGGTGCATAATCACCCTGAAAGTCATGGAGAAAATGGGCCTGAGGCTAAAAACGTTAAAAAGGCCCATTGCATTCTGTCAGTTGGACGGATCGATTGCAGGAGGGGACCCAGCCAGCTTTGTGACCGAACCCATTGAAATGCAATTGGGGGATCACGTAGAGACCCTCAGTTTTATTGTGGCCCCTGGATGGAACGACCCCTCATACTTGGACTGCCCTGGCTCCGTAGATGGAACCCACGTGTTAACTGGAAAACGGGGGTTTTGCACATTCGCACGGAAAATTGAGACTAGAGAGGGAAGAAAACCCCCTGGAGGACGGAGTAGAACACGAAAGGGCGGAAGTGACAATAGGCCACATCGAAGGGGAGGAAAAGATTCCAAAGGAGTATTGGGATCTCCGAGAAGTTTTTAGTGAAAAGGCCTCGGATGTGCTACCCCCCCCCCCACAGAGCTACGGACTGTACCATTGAAATACTCCCCGGGGTGAAGCTCCCTAAGCCAAAGATCTACCCCATGACCCCTCGAGAACTAGGGGAATTGCGAAAATTCATTGATAAAAACCTAGAACGGGGTTTTATCCAGACCAAGGGTGGTGGCGCCTGTAATGTTCTGAGAAAAGAAAGATGGCTCCTTTCGTTTGGTAGTTGATTATAGGAATCTCAACGCTATTTGCGTGGAAAACGTTTACCCCCTGCCGCTCATGAAGGACGTGCTAGCACTCTTAGGAAAGGGGAAAATTTTCACCAAACCGGACTTACAAGAGGCATACTACAGAGTGAGAATTAAGGAGGGGGATGAATGGAAAACAGCGTTTAACTGTCCACTGGGATGTTTCCAGTTTCAAGTGCTCTCTTTTGAACTACAAGAAGCCCCTGCTGTGTTCATGCAATTGATAAATGAGGTACTGCATGAGCACCTGTATAAGGGGGTGCTGGTTTACTTGGATGACATTGTTATCTACTCTGAGAGCATGGACGACCATGTGAAATTGGTGCGAACTGTCCTGAAAAAACTCAGGGCTGCTGAACTATATGCCAAACTCTCTAAATGCGAGTTCCACCAAAGCAAAATTGACGATCTTGGATATCGCATATCGCATGAGGGAATAGAGATGGACCCTGGAAAAGTTCGGACAGTATTGGAATGGGCCGCGCCACGCACCCGCAAACAACTACAAAGTTTCCTCGGATTTGCTAACTTCTATAGACAGTTTATCCCCTCGTTCGCCAAAATCACGCTGCCAATAACAAATCTTCTGAAAACAAAAGGTGAAGTAAAACCAAATCCCTCACGAGCCCTTGAATGGACTATGGACTGTCAGGCGGCATTCGAAAAGTTGAAACGCTTGTTTGCTGCTGAACCAATCCTCAAACATCCAGACATGGAAGAGCCTTTTGTAGTACAGGCTGACACGAGCGACGTGGCAGTAGGAGCAGTACTTCTGCAGAAGAATGCAGAAGGGAAATTACAACCCTGTGCCTATACGTCCCGCAAATTGTCAGAGACCGAAAGGAGATGGGCCATATGGGAGAAGGAAGCTTTTGCAGTGCAATGGGCATTGTTAACGTGGAGACAATTTCTTGAAGGAGCTAAGCATCCTTTTGAAGTTTGGACTGACCATAAAAACCTGGAGGCTTTGAAAACACCGTGTAAGCTGTCACCAAAGCAAGTTCGCTGGGCTCAACACTTCAACCATTTTAATTTCACTTTATGCTACCTTCCTGGTGGAAAGAACTTCATGGCGGATGCACTTTCCAGATTGCCTCAATACAACAGTACCAAGGAGGAAGTGGTTCGGCCTATCATACCTGTGACACAACTAGCAGCGCCAGTAACTACCAGAGCACAGATGAGGGCTGATCCAGCCCTCTCGGGCGATTTGCTTCATAAACTACAAGAAGCTCTAAAGACTGACGAGTGGTTTCGAACCCACTCGAATGAATGTACACTCTGTGATGGACTAGCGTGGATTGGGGCCAAATTGTATGTTCCGGCCAGTTTAAGAGTAACGGTGTTGCAGCACGCTCATGACGCCAAGACGGCGGGACACTTTGGATTTGTTAAAACTGTACATCTCATTAAAAGACAATTCTGGTGGCCTGCACTCAAAAAAGACATAGAGGCATATGTAGCTAGCTGTCCGGTGTGTGCCTCAGCTAAGAGACCTCCGGGGAAGCCACCTGGTTTACTTCAGAGTGTGGCAAGGCCAAATGCTCCTTGGAAAGAGATATCCATGGATTTGATTGTAGACGTGCCAGAGAGTGGGGGGTGCACAGTCATTTGGGCAGTAACGGATTTGTTTTCCAAACAAGTACATTTCATCCCTTGTTCAAAAATCCCTTCAGCTAAAACCCTTGCAAAATTGTTTATTCAACATGTTTATCGATTACATGGGGCTCCAAAAGGTATAATCTCAGACAGGGGTGTGCAATTTACCTCCAACTTTTGGAAGGAGTTTTTGGGGTTAATAGGGGTTAAGCTCCGCCCACCACCCCCAGACAAATGGGGCTTGTGAGAGAACCAATGCCGTGTTAGAACAGTACCTGAGATGTTACATAAATTACCAGGAAGACAACTGGGTGGACTTATTGCCATTTGTGGAGGTGGCGTATAATAACTCCATACATAGTAGCACCGGTGTCACTCCATTTAAGGTGGCCTCTGGCCAAGAGTTTGTACCAATCCCAGAGCTACCACAGGATAACCCACAGAACCCCTCTTTAATTGAGTGGATCGAACAGCTACGGGGTAGTTGGGCAGTAACTCGAAAAGCTTTAGATGATGCACACCGAGCACATAAAGCCCAAGCTGACAAAAAGAGGTGCCCGGCACATATGTACAAAGTGGGTGATATGGTTTATCTTTCCACCAAATATTTACAGATTTCCCAGAAATCAAAAAAGCTCGGACCAAAGTATGTGGGCCCTTTCCTAATCACTAGACTCATCAACCCAGTCACAGTTGAATTGGAATTGCCAAAAAAATTGAGACGAATCCACCCTGTGTTTCATGTTAGCTTACTGAAACCGGAACATATGTCCACTTTGTGTCCGAACCAGGACTCTCCTCCGGTCTCCATACTGATAGAAGAGAAACAACATTTTGAAGTTAAGGAAATCTTGGATTCTAGGAAGCATCACGGTAAAGTGCAGTATTTGGTGGCCTGGAAGCATTTTCCCATTATCTCAAGCTGAATGGGTGAATAAACGTGATGTCCGGGCGCCAAAGAAAGTTCAGTTGTTTCACACCAAATATCCTGATAAACCCTAATTTCTGTGTTGTGTTGTTTTCTCTTTCCCTATTTAGGAATAACATCTCTTCTGCAGAGGGGCCGAATGTCAGTCTCCGCCTTTACTGCTTTGGCTGCCATAATAACGGGAGGGGGGGAGAGCTAGGTAGCATGGGGGGGAAGTGTGCTGGAGGAATCTGGAGAAATCGAAAACGATAGTTAAGCCACCGGACTGTATCTTTGAAGCTGCTTTCGGGTCAACGGTCGTGGCATTCCTGATTGATGACACTGCCAGACGTGTGCTTCCACCTGACCTCTGGGAGACCTTTGGATTGGATGATTTACGGTGGACAGTGGGAGGGGATGCTTTCTATATGCAATTTTCGCACTTATTGCCTTAGGTTCTGCTTTCCTTTGGTTGTGTTCACTTCATTTTCTAGTAAAAGTACCTTTCTCTATAAACAATGGAGTTTGGGTCATTCTTTCCTGGACTTTGAAGGAAGCACACCTGACAGATACTGCCATTCAATTGGAAGAAAGGGGGAGACTTGGATTCAATTTACTAGCATTGCCTGTGTCAACAGATATTTTACAACTTACATCCTGGCGCCAAAGAGCCCTGAGATCCTCTTTACCTGGAGGAATTTTTATGATAGCCATGTGGGTTGTTTCACTTTAAAGGATAACAGTGTGAATGCATGGTGGTTCGGGTTCTCAGGGAAACTAGTAAAGAAAGCATCTTCACACTTGTGTATTGGTTAAAATCTGCATTCTGACTTAAAGGGAGGGGTCTCTACTGCTTTAATCCTACTTGTTTTGCCTAAGGGTATTCAGATCTTGCTTTAATTGGGTGGCTATCACTTCTGCTTAATAAAAGGTCTCTTTTGAACAACCACGTTTCAAGAGTTCGTACTTTCTTAAGTTGGAAGGAGGGGCGATCCTTACAAAAAGCAAGATCTGCAAAACGGTCAACCCAGAGAAGCAATCTTCGTTTTACTGAGGGGACCTTGCAAACCATGTGTCAGCACGTCAAGATGCATTTATCCTAGTGCTGACATGAGAAGGAGAACGCAAGTGTCTGCAACGGGACAGTTGCCTTTCACCTACTTATTTTAGCTGGAGATAATGTCCCCTAGGAGATGGATGGGAGAGGGGAAATTCTTTGAGTTGGAGCAGTAGATTAGGGGTGAATGGTTGGGATGATGGCCAATGAATGCAGAGGAGTGGGGGAAGGAAGAGGAGGGATTTTGGGTCAGCACCTCAGTGCTGGCTGCATAGAATCAGTGTAAAAGTTGCCGTGTTAAATAAAATGGAAGTTTGTTTCAAAAAAGACTGTTGAGACGCAATTTATTTGAAGACGGCCTGAAAACCTGACACCATGTCTGAATGAAGCAGAGAACTGGGAGAAGCTGATTGCTGGGGGGGAGACATCAACCATCACCCAGTCGGATGCCTATTTCGTACACACCATCGGAGAGGATGAGGTAACCCTGGAGAATCCTGAAAAGCCCCGCTGGTCAATTGGCATCGGGAAGAAAGATATCTGGGATGAAAGAACCAGAGGAGTCACCCTCAGCCGTGGCAACCGAAAACCGGGGTGGAAACTGGAACTAGAAGCCCTTGCTGACCAGGGGGGACTGACCAAAGCACCACTGAGGGAGGATTATCTGAAGAGGCATATAACATAATTGGTGATGGAAACTTTGGAAAATCTCAACATCCGAAGGGAGCCAGGACAACAACCAAAGGGTGTGGAAAAGGCAGCAGTCGCGGATGATGCCACAGGAGGCACCCTCAAGATGCACGTCAAGATGCATTTATCCTAGTGCTGACATGAGAAGGAGAACGCAAGTGTCTGCAACGGGACGGTTGCCTTTCACTTACTTATTTTAGCTGGAGATAATGTCCCCTAGGAGATGGATGGGAGGGGGGAAATTCTTTGAGTTGGAGCAGTAGATTAGGAGTGAATGATTGTGAAGATGGCCAATGAATGCAGAGGAGTGGGGGAAGGAAGAGGAGGGATTTTGGGTCAACACCTCAGGGCTGGCTGCATGGAGTCAGTGTAAAAATTGCCATGCTAAATAAAATGGAAGTTTGTTTCAAAAAATACTTTCTTTGAGATGCAATTTATTTGAAGACAGCCTGAAAACCTGACACCCTCCTTCTGGAGCCTGCCTATTGAGCAGATGGCGCAGCAGCAGCAGGAGAAGACCTAGCAAATCCTCCCCCCCAGGCAGCACGCTCACCGGCGCCCATCCCCAACCAGCCCCGAGTCCCACAACTGGAAAGAGAAATTCCTTCCCTTGGGGTGAAGTTTGATGGGAATCCGCAGCAATTAGGATTCTTTGTGGCACATGTGCTAACCTACATGCAAGAGTACGGGCGTGATTTCCAAACCCAAAGATCCCGAGTGCGAGTTGTGACCCTAGCCCTAGAGGGTGCCGCTGCCAGATGGATGGTGACCCTGCATAACGCCAACGAACCAGAACTACGGGATTTCGACCGTAGGTTTCGTCCTCAAACCTGCGACGCCGGTTTGAGGACCCACTAGCAGATCGCAAAGCACGTGACTGCATTAAGGTGGTGAGGCAGGGGCGACGGCCAGTAGCAGAGTATACTGAAGAATTCCGGGACCTTGCATGTCGTATGAACTGGCCAGAAGATATTTTGGTGAACTGTTTCAATGACAGGCTGAGTGATGATCTATACAATGCCTGCGTGGCCCGAGGTGCAGCGAATCACCTACATGAATGGTACGTCACCGCCGAAGAAGCTGAGATCAATATGGCTAGAAACCAGTATCGAGCGGGGTGAGCATGGAAGCAATCCCCACCCCAAAGGAAGCAAGAGCCCCTCAAACCACAAACCGCATTGTCTCCGAGATCCGAGATCTAAGTTGGAAGGAGAGGCAATCCTTACACTCTCTTTCTCTCTGGAACAGCTTGCCTTCGGAAGTTGTAGGAGCTTCATCACTGGAGGCTTTCAGGAAGAGATTGGATTGCCATTTGTCAGAAATGGTATAGGGTCTCCTGCTTGGGCGGGGGATTGGACTAGATGACGTACAAGGTCCCTTCCAACTCTGTTAATCTAATTTAATCTAATCTATGCAGGCCCAGCTCTTTTGTTGGTGAGACTTGGGGAGGGGCAGGCCCAACTTTTGTCCTTTTGTTTCCTTAACAATTTGGTTCTTTTCCCTGAGGGAGCTTTTCCTGGCTTTTGTCCATCCTGTTTACGTGCCTTCACCACTTCTAGATATGGTCGGCCTAGAATCACACAGGTTACTTGTATTTGTGTTCAATTTTATATTTATCAGTTCTATTAGTTTTCTGCTGTGAACCAGTTCGGACCATACAGTATATAAATTATCAAAATAAAATAAATTTGTAAATTAAAGGTAAAGCTTCCTTTGGATGTTTACTTTATATCTTCATTCCACATTTTTTGGAAATGAGCCAGAACAAGATTTTTTTCTCCTTCGAGTACCTTCGAGACCGTCTTCTGCCACCAATAGCCTCCCACCGACCAGTCCGTTCCCACAGAGAGGGTCTCCTCAGGGTGCCATCAGCCAAGTTATGTCGGCTGGCGACACCCAGGGGGAGGGCCTTCTCTGTGGGAGCCCCAACCCTGTGGAATGAACTGCCCCCGGAAATACGTAAGATCTCCGACCTCCGGGTGTTCCGCTGCGCACTGAAGACCCTGTTGTTCCGCCAGGCAGGGCTGTCAGTATAATAATTTTAAATTGGGGTATTTTAATTTTTGGGGTTTTAAATCGGCCAAATCTATTTAATTATTTTAATTTTTAATTATTGTTGTGTCTTGTGTTTTTAAATTGGCTGTACACCGCCCGGAGTCCTTCGGGAGAAGGGCGGTATAGAAATAAAATTATTATTATTATTATTATTATTATTATTATTATTATTATTATTATTTTATTGCCTTATTTTTGTTTAATGGCTTTCTCATTGTAGGTCCTATATGTGCCTCATAGATCAAAGAGTATAGACCCGTGATGGCGAACCTATGGCACACGTGTCACAGCTGGCACACGGACCCATATTGCCTGGCTCGCACAGTGGTGCCTATTCCTCTTCTGGGTTTCTGGTGCACGCATGCGCACCGGCCCTGCTAGTCTTCTGGTTACTGGTGCGCATGCGCGTGTGACGATCAGCAGGACTTCATGCATGCGGCTGTGCCAGAAACCAGAAGATCAGCTGGCCAGCTGATTGTCCCACACGCATGCTCGCAAGTAGTTAGTTAGTTAGTTGGTTACTTTATTAAATTCCAAACCGCCCTTCTCCTGAAGGACTCAGGGCGGTGTACAGCCATGTTAAAACACACATAAACTCTCAAAATTTAAAAACAATTTAAAACGAATATATTAAATTTGGCCCACAAAGTTAAAAATTGACAAACAACCCAATTTAAAATTCATATTCTAAGCCAGCCTGGCCTGTTGGAACAACAGAGGCTTAAGGGCACGGTGAAAGGTATGAAGATCGGGGATCATACAAACCTCCAGGGGCAGGTCATTCCAGAGGGCAGGTGCCCCCACAGAGAAGGCTCTCCCCCTGGGTGTCGCCAGTCGGCATTGTTTGGCCGACGGCACCCTGAGGAGTCCCTCTCTGTGGGAGCGTATTGGCCGGTGGGAGGCTACCGGTGGCAGAAGGCGATCTCGTACATACCCAGGTCCTAAGCCATGGAACGCTTTAAAGGTGATAACCAGCATCTTGAATCGCACCCGGAAGACCACCGGGAGCCAGTGCAGCTCACGCAGGAGAGGTGTTACATGGGTGTGCCGTGTCGCACCCATAATTACCTGTGCAGCGCATTCTGGACCAGTTGGAGCTTCCAGGTGCTCTTCAAGGGGAGCCCCATGTAGAGAGCATTACAGTAGTCCGGACAGGGCGAGGGCATGAGTGACCGTGCACAAGGCGTCCCAGTCCAGAAAGAGACACAACTGGTAAATCAGGCGAACCTGATAGAAAGCTCCCCTGGCCACAGCTGTCATATGGTCTTCTAAAGACAGCTGTGCATCCAGGAGAACACCCAAGTTGCGAGCCCTCTCTGAG